CATACGGTAGTCATCTTTTGTCTGTTCACGCAAAAATGTCTTAAACAGTTTGCAGATGACGTTCTGAGGAGAAGTAGTTGCTGCACAACCTATTTTCCCCTTTCATCAAGTCAAAATGCTATAGGCTGAACTCCCACAGATATACGAGCACAGCCCGATTTAATGACAACAATCTTCCAAAAAGTTGCACCTTCCGGCCCAAAAGGTCTGAAAGCATTTTACAGCTGGAAGCCCTGATCCACGCAAACCTTCAGCGACAGCTTATCCCAGGGACTTTCAGGACTGGCCGCTGCAGTGGATGTATTTCAGTGTTAGCTTTGGATTACTGGGAGGAAAGCACTGCTCTGGAGGGGGCTGCAAGTGGAGTTGCATATGCCTGGGCAGGCATATGCCTGGGCAGGCATATGTTGGTGCGAAAGGGATGGGGCGGGCACAATATTGGTAGCGGTGTTGGCATTTCTATTATTGCCGTGAGAAATTAGAGAGAAATCAGTAGGTCAACACAGACGTCTCCTGGAGAGCGGTCTATGCCTTTGCAGGGTGAGGAAGACGCACACTCCAGGCTTTCTCTGCAGCAATAAGGGTTAGAAACTTAATATCATAATGAAAGATTGAAGCCTGGCAGAAACACATGGGACCACCAGAGAAGTGCTGACAATATATGCTACCGTATCCTGGCTTGCTGCGACCCCTGAACCTGTCTCTGCACGCAGACTTTCAGGACAGGCCGTGAGGAATGCTACAGCCAATGGAAATAACAAGAGGAAGTCGGGCAGACTGAGCGTCGTTAGCCAAAGTGGAATTTGTCTTGGGCTAACATCACCCTCGTCTCATTCAGGACTTCTGGGGTTTCTGGTCGGCTGGCGAGTGAGACCGGCGCAGTCACCGTGAGCAAAAGTTCACTGCTGAAGAGTCAAGCAGAGTCCTCCATGTCGCCATAGGAAATATTTTACCCCCCTCATATTTCTTGTGATTAAAACCGCATGGAAACTCAAGTTTATGAGCAACAGACCTGGGCTCCTGCCTGGCTGGTTGTCATACACATCATTCTGGATAGCGACGCTGAAGTGCTGACGACCCCACATCTCTCTCCTGGCTTTTTTTCCCAGCTTCCAAAACACAACATGCCGGGTGGCAGGGCTTAGCCCCCGGTGCTAGTGTCAGCTTGAGTGTGGGGATGGGCAGAAATCCTCATTAGAAATGCACTGAGCCCTGCTTGTAGTCTAGCATGACCAGGAGAAAATCTAGGGAAACGGATGAGCAACACCTCAGCAGCAAAAGGGGCCTTCACGCTCTCCTCTTGCCCAACAGATGCTCCCGCTGTTATTCTTGATGTCAATCGAGGCTTTGGTGAAGGCAAGGGCAGCCCGCAGTCATGTAAGAAATTTGGTGAGATTGGGACTAAAAGGGGCAAAGGAAGGAAGGAAATGATGAAATCATGCAATAGTCCTGAGGTTCCCGGACTCTTTCGCCGTCTGGACCACATCCGAAGGAAAAGATCCTCTCACGGACATTTTCTCTCCCATTTCTGAACATGCAACATTTCTGTGGCAACTGCAGCAATTCCATACATGAAAAAATAATATTTAGCAGATGGAAACTAAGGAAGAAAATCAGAGCCCTGTAATTAGCTCGTTCTCCACGGACTTGCAGATACCTTCAGAGCCCGTGCAGAGAGCTGTGGGTAGAGCCATGCCGAAAGGAGAGAAAACTTCACAAACAGGAGATTAGGAAACTGAAGCAATCAGCACTGATGGTCAAGGAGCTGTGGAAAGACTTTTAACCGTTCTGTTTCCTATACCCTTACATGTGATTTCATCTCTTTATCAAGCCCTCCCTTCAGAGTTTGAAGCCAACTTTCGTCTTTTCTGTGTATTTTGTTTCAGGGCCCTACAGGAAGACCAGGGCTCCAGGTAAACACTTTGTTCTTTCTTTTTCATTCCCTCACGCTGTCTGTCTGGCAGTACTTTCATCAGTAGGTCTCCAGGGACTGTAAACTGGGAGAAGGTAGTGATCTCGCATAGCATACCTGATGTGGAAGAACAGCATGTTGTGAACAGGACATCGCTTGTAACAGAGTAGGGACTACAGGAGCTTTGTAGGACCAAACTTAAGGGTAATATAATCCCTATGAACCCTCCTGCATGTGGGAGACATGCTACTCTTGAAGATGCCTTTGTCAACTTGAGGGTCTGTTTGAAGAGGCGCAGTTTGCAGTATTCTTGCTGATGGAGCTTGCTAATTGCAACAGGATTTAAAAGGCCTAAGTCACTCTGGGACAAATGCAAAAGTCCATAGCAGTATCTGCATCTGAGATAGATAGTCATGAGTGAGGAAGGAGTGTGGGTTTTGGGATTACAGCTGTGTGCTTTCTTGGTGAGGGCTCCCTGCTCCCTGGGCTGCTGCTCACCTGGAGACTGCAACAGCCGTAACAGGCAGTTTCCTAATGAACAAAGTGCAAACAGTGCTGCTGGCTCTAGCTGCGACTCAGGACAGAGCCTGCTTGTTGCCTTTCATGCTTCTCTAGCTCCAACGTGGGAGCTGCAGGCAGCTTCGCATGACTTCGTAACCAACCTACGTGGTATTATCCACCCGCGAGTGCTCTTTCCTGGCTCCCTGTCACAGACAACCTTTCCTTATAAACATCTGGCATTTATTTGCTGTCCTACCGGGAGCTCCCCCTTCTCTGTTATTGCTTGGAGGGCTGCAACGCTGCACAGTCACATACCAGACACGGTGCCGTCATGTACCGCTCCAACACCAGGTACTCGCTGGGGATCAGACACAGCTCAGCCCCGACCTTGGGCTCTTCCTGCTCGGGCACCAGCCACAGCAGAGCCAGGAGAAATAAAATGAGCTTTTACCTCAAACCATGAGGGAGATCAGCTCTGGAGGAAAGCAGCATTTAAGGGACTAAAAGCACAGGAAAACTCAGCATTATGTTCTCCAGCAGCCACAAATTAATCCCAGGGCAAGATGCTGACACTGGGAGTTTTGCTTGCTGCCGGCACACAGAGATAGGCAAATATTAGTGGGACTGAGAACCCGCCTAAAACCCTAGAAGAAAGCAGTTTCCCATAATATATCATCTACAAAATTTAAAATCAAGCAGCTGTTTAGTGTTTCATCCATCTGCAAGGGATGCTTTTGCAAAGCTTATATTGCTTTTCAATTTATCAAAACCTGTGCTACACGGAAAGGAATGCTCCCAATACCGAACGGCCGCCCAGCTCTGCAGAGGGAAGCGGCTAAACTTTCACCAGGTAACAGTTTGATCCCAGGCAATAATGTCCGAGATTGAGATGCACAGGCAAAGCAGCCTCTGTGTACACCCGGCAAAACAAATGGAGTTAAGAGCATTCCCCTTCCAGAGGGAATTTCAGACTACATTCACACATGTTGGGACTGAACGTGGGGGAAGGCACAAAGAGGTGGCACTGATGGGGCTGGTGTCTCCAGCTGCAGAAACCAGAAAACTGGGTTTGTGTCTACAAATGCAGGCAGCCAGAGACAGGGACATGTTTTACATATGGAAACCCCAAACGTTGCTGGAAACTGAACAGAGAGATTATTATCATGTCATTTTTGCAAAATATAGAGCAAAAACTACATGACTGCTGAAGCCATAATCATCAAGATCCTTTCAGTAATCAGCTGCTATCTTACAAATCTGCACAGCCTTCAGTTTTGGTGACCAGGAATGTAGAGGGGGTTCATTTTTTTTTATTTTATTTTTTTTTTAAATTGCATAGTTAAGTTTAATTGTAAGAGGCAGAAAACTGCCTTGTAGGTAAGTGGCTGAAGAAAATTGCCACTGGTCTTGTGTTCATGTGTTTATGAGACTCTGTTCAGTGTTGCCTGACCCAAAGTCATTCCCCAAACCACCGTTAGGATCGTTCACACCCTGACAATGCACTGGGAAGTATCTCAAAGGGGTAGAGGATACTGAACACAGCTGCTCATATGTCTTCTTCCAGACATGCTTTTTCCTGTGTCAGCTTGTTTTCCCACATTTTTCTCTTGCTTCTGGACAGGACCGTATTTTCAAGTCTAAGAGAATCCTGTTTTAAAGTGATAACTCTATAAATAAATAGCTAACACCCAGATGACTTTGGTAAAGAAAGAGAAAAATGTGACAGTTGGCTACTGCAGGAAGCCAGTTCCCAGAACCCGGATTTTATGAAGTGTTGGAAATTGAGATTATACTTTCTGTTAGGCTGAAAACTCTTGCCCTTCTTGTGCTGCCTAAATCGCCATATGTCATTTCTGTTGTGAGATGTGCTGGTTTGTCATATGTACAAGCAAACCGATGGCTTACGCACGTTCTTAAAGACAGGTTCAGGCACATGCAAACACACTTTTCTCTCTCTCTCTAACTTGCTCTCTCCCTCTCTCAAAATCCCTGGACACTTACACTGCAGCGCGAAGCCGTGTCTGTGGCACAGCTCATTTGTGCTGTTTTATAACCTTGCTTTTGGCCAGTTTCCAATTGCCTCTGATTTTGCCTTAATTGCCAGGGAGACAAAGGCGCGATGGGGATCCCTGGGCGGCCGGTAAGTCAAAAACTCTTGCGTGTGCCTTATCCTCCCCATCCTCTTCCAACCCTCAGGATTTTGGGGGGACTTTCAGAATGATCCTTGACGGGTGTCAACCTGAGAAAAGCCACCTTCCCTGAGCCCCACATCTGAGGGGATGTCCTGGTCGCAGCAGGGTGGCCAGCCCTGCAAACCGCATACATGCCGGGGGTGTGTGTGTTTCCATCCCCTCTGCCGTATTGCTCAGGCCCTCCACTGGTTCAGCATCCCCCCTGGTTGGGTGCCTCCTGCTGCCACCTCGTGCGCTGGCTGGGCTTGCTAACTGTGGGCTTGCTAACATGCACCCCTGCCTGCCACTGGCAGCTGCTGTTTCCAAATAACCTTGCCCTGAACAAGGTGGGGGCATTCCCTGCCTGGCTGAGCGCTGTATTTTGGAGCTGCTCTTTGCTCGGGCATCCCAGAGGTAGGATGGGGAAAAGGGCTGGGGCAGGAGCTGAGGCCACCCTGCTTATCCCAGCCCCATAGCCAGGGTTTTGGGGCAGGGGAGCGTGCCCTTGCCGCTGACGCCTGTGTTTGTGTCTCTCTCTCTCTCTCTCTCTCTCTTCCCCGCCCCTGCACCCTCTTGCATGTGGCTGCGATCGGTGCCACTGACCCAGGGACTAAAAGGGCAACCCGGAGAGAAGGTGAGTCGGCTCCTCACAGCCCATAGCATCCCCGACTGTCCTCGTCTAGGGCCAGCCCAAGCCCCCTGGTCACAGTCATGGCCACTGCAGCCAGCTTGGGCTTTCACCCACCCCCGGGCTGCCCCCTGTCTTCCCCGGCAGTGCGAGTTTATCTCCCAAATTCCTTCCAGGCCACTCAGCCTCCGAAGATGCTGCGTTTCTTGTTTATGACAATTTACTAACAGCACAAGAGCCAGCGGGCACATGCAGGGCTCCCCTCAAGGCTTCCTGGGTTTTAACCGTTGAGTTTCTTCCCTGCTGGCAGCTCCACTTGCCCTAATCAATCCGTAGCTCCTGTCTGCCTCCCAGGGTAGCCTGCTCCCTGCTGCAAGCCATAGCAAGAAAGAAAATGGCACGGCATGCTCCTATTTCTGACATGGTGAGACCTCTTCCTCCTAAGGAAAACTGACGGTATGGTTTAAGTTTGTGGGACACTGTCTCCCAAACTGTTTGCCGTGCAGCAAATTGGTGTTTTGTCCCTCCAAGGAAGCGGTGGCTTACAAAGCATCCTACTTCTGGCCCCCATGTTTTGAAGTGTTTCACACTTCAATGTTACTGTATTTTCCCTAGAGCTGTGAGTACCTCCCACCCGCAAGAACAGCAGGGTGAAGGTGTTTGGGGGTGTGAATACCTGAATAACAATGTGTAGAAACTAGGAAAAGGATGAATATTCACCTGATACAGGGATCGTCCGTGCAGGGCACTGCCATACCAGGCCCGTTTGCTCCTATTCATAGGAAATAGAGAGAAAAACACCAAGGACAGGCAAGGTAGGACAGAGATTCTCCTTCCTTGCTTTCAAGCTTCTGCTTCCTCATTGGAGCCAACCAACATTATTTAACAGACCAAGGTTTCACCACCTGATGCCACGCTGCTTTTTCTCTGTGTGTCCTTGCATTTCTCTCTGGCCAAAGCTTTCAACATGAAGGGTCAGCTGACAGATACAAACAAACAAGGGAAAAATCACACTTAATTGCCCATGCTTCCCCAAAGCCCTCCGTGAGAGTCCTAGGTCCTTGGCAAGCCCCAGCTTTGTTTTGCAGAGAGCTCTGTTTGCTCACAGGCTGCTTGGTTTATGGGATGCTCCATCCCAAGGCTCCCCAGCCCTGGGCACTTCTGGAGCTGCCTCTCAGGAATATGCCATGTTTTCCAAAGACAGGGACATATCCTGCCCATAGCACGTCGTGGGTGGCTAGGAGCTGGAGAGGCAGCTGTTTTCTTTTCCAGCAAGGACTTTGCTGTTTTCATCCACATCTCAACAGTTTGAGAAGCACACAAGCAAGGCATTTCTGGAGACAGCCAGTGAGCTGCCCGCAGCTCCCATTTCCCTGGAGCCCATCACATCCCTTCTTCTTTTCTTTCTTGTGCAAGACAGTCCTCCTGGACTCACAGGAAGGAAACAGCAAGGGTTTCAGGCCATCTTTCACACTTGTAATGGGGCAGAACCTCTGTTTTGCCAGAAAGCGTTTTATGTGTTTATAGTGTCCCTTGCTGTGCAGCTTCCGTTTTCTGGCACGTCTGAGTAGCTCCAAATGACATCTCTTCTCCCAAAGTGTGGGGCAAGAGCTGGGGAAGGCCAGAAAGGCAGCTGCCCCATAAGCCCTGGAGGTATCACACCTTCAGCACCCTCATTTAATCCTGGTCTTGACAGGAATATAATTCTCTTTGTATTTTCCTCTCCTCCTTTTCTCACCCCTTCTCCTCTCCCGTGTCTCTCTGCAGGGTGCTCCAGGAGAAGCAGGCATGTCTATCATCGGGCCCCGCGGTCCACCCGTAAGTGGCTTTTCTCTCTATTTTTGACTGATGCAGGATGTGGGCAAGTTACAGGGAAAAACTTAGGAGGGGCAGTAAGACACAGCATTAGCTGGAGAGAGCAAAAACCCCGTATAATGTGGTTCCCATGCTGAGCCGAGCTTGGTTTTATACTGCTATTATATACTATATATAATGAAATTACACCTCATACTCCAGAACAAATGAGGAAGCCTTCCCTTGCAAGGAAACCATATTCCTGCATTTAAAATGAAGAAGCATATTTTCTTCTTGCAACAGGGCAGCTACCGCTTTTGGAGAAAATACGCCCTTTGCCTGGCTGATGTCAGCCTTTAGTTTCACTAGCAGAGGACAAACCCCCTGATTTTGCAGAAGAGCAGGATCAGAGCTAAGCTGGTGACTGGGGAACTCACAAAGATGGGTAGTTCAGAGTTGTTCAGAGGTCCTTGTCAAGTACCCAAAATCTTGGAAACTCTTTGACAGCACAGTTACCGCTATCTGGAAAGTCCCTTAGCTGGCTGGGGAGCCAAGGAAAGCGTAGGCAGGATTTTGCATCCTCTTCTGGCAAAAGTGTCCCTGCAAGGTGCAAGGAGTATGCCAGACAAAGCTTTTTGCATGGATGGGGTCATAAAAAAAGACGAACATGAAGGGCTTGGAGCATTCACGTGCCCTAAATGCTGGATGTTTCTTGCACTGCGGTTCACTTCCCACTGCACGGCCTCCACCAGAGATTTCCATGAAAAAAGACCCAGAGACTCAATTTTCTTCTTCCCAGCGGGCACTTCCGATTTTGATTAACCTGTGAAGAGCACCGTCCTTGACCTGCAGAGAGGATGGGCCGCCGGCAACTTTTGTTTCACAGCAGAGGTCAAGTGAGAGAGACCTAGGCAGTGCGAACACTTAGTTACACCTGGCTTTCCAATTAACTGTCCAAAAGCCCCATGATAAGTGTTTCTAATAAGAAACAGCTTTGCCGGTTCCCAGGCCCACCTGCCTGGCACACTGGAGTCTGAGAAGCGACAGACCTGAAGCCCAGGACACAAACGGGCCTCCCCATGTGTTTTATATCCAGTAGACGGTCCCTGGCCATGTGGCCAGGCAAGGAGGAAGGGCTGGCAGGTCTCTCAATGCCAAGCTCTGAGCAAGAGCACCCTGCTCCATAAGCAGCAGATTTTGGAGGGTAAATGCCCCATCGCTTTTGCTGTTTCTCATAAAATGTAGCTCTGAGCCTTCTGGATAGTGTGGTTATAGTAATTGGACTTAAAAGCCATCAGTCCCTGTCACTGTAGGTCCTGCAAACAGAGACAGGCACCACTGTTTTCTTGAAGGACACATGCCTGGTCTGCAGGACAATTTTTAATGTCTGCTTTGGTGCTGCTGCTTTGCCTCATTGCCTTTGCTGCTGTTTGGGAAAGTGCAGAATGCGTTGCATCTCCAAAGCAGCAGCAAACTTAGATGGCAAATGATATTTGAAATGAGCTTTTGCCTACCCCAGTCAAAGCCCGGAGGTGCCAGGACTGGCACAACTCCACACTTCCACCCCCAAAGCCTACTGTGAAGACGATCCAGTTTCCCGGGGAGCTGGTGATAGGTCAAAAGGATGGCTGAGCACTGAAGACAAACACGGAAACCCGGGCCAAGGGGCCACTCGGAAAGACGTGGGATGACAAATAGTTTCCAGATTTTTTGTTTGGAGGTTAGTTTTCACTAGAGCTCAGAGCTGCTTAACTTCTGGCCGGGGAGGGACAGTGCGCCGATAGTGGCAGAAACAGACAGTCTCCATGATTTGGCAGCTCCTGGGATTACATACTTCATACGATCAACATTTTAAAAAGAAGACAAGGAAAAACAGTCACCCAACAAAAACAGTCTCTTGGAATTGCTTGCCGCTGAACTGTTGTTTTGGCCTGATACCGTGCAAATCACTCTGCTGTCCTCCAAGGAGAAAAAGGCAGCAGTCTGTAGTCTACAGAGGAAGCCAAATTGCACAATTTCCAGGGCTTCTCCCTAATTCTTTTTTTAGCACTTCTTGTCCAAGGAGGTGTCCAGCAGGGAACCAAAATTAATGAATTGCGGCTAGGCTCTTATTGATTCTTGCCTTTTCAGAAATCAGCGGTGGACAGATCCTTTAATTTATAGCCTATCTTCCCTCCTGGTCACTGGCCAACAGGACCAGGTGGTTTTATATGTATCTTGCAAAGCAAAGCTGACCAAGTTCAACTTTGCAGAACTAAAAAAACAGTGCAAATGGGATTAGGTCCTGCTAGCATGGTGTATAAAAACACAACTGTTCAGCACAACACAAGGCGTTTTGTGGTGGGGACATCCCTCAAACTCTGCAAAGAGGTTATCTGGCCCCATCTCTGAACGGCCAGATCTTCACTGAGTCTCTCTGCAGGTAGAGGGAGGCTGGAGGAGATGTAAACCGAAGGTGAAGGTTTTCCCTGCCAATGTGGCTCTGAACTCTCTCCCACGGGATTAGCATAGCTGCACTGTGGCAAACCTCAGCCTTGCAGCCCAGCATGCCGTCCCCTCCTTCCCCTTTCCTTCCCTCGGCATCACATGGGACGACTCTGGTTAAGGCAGAGATGCACCTGTGTGCATTTCTTTGCAGAAGTGAACTCTTGTTTATACCCAGCTCTTTCCTAGGAGACCCTTGAGGGACGCAAAGAGTCTGGTTATGGTATCTCAAATTACCCAAGAAAGCATTTTCGTCCTGAAAATGAAGCATGGGAACACATAAGAAACCTGGGCTTTTTGGCATCATAGCACGGCTTTCAGGGAAGGCAAGATGCCGCAGCGGTCACTCGATGAGCATGGTACCGGATTTACCTCATCCTGCTGTTTCCGTCTACGTGGGTGTGCTTCCAGATCTGCTGAAGTCTGGTCAATATTGCTTCCCAACTTGGCTCACACATTTTTCGGGAAATTGAGATTAAAAAATCCTTATGTAAAGTGGTATCTTTTCTGGATATCCACAAATCTAGGGTAACTGTGACCTGGGATGTCACAGGTCCCAGAAACTGAAGAACTATGAAAAATTAACAGCCAGGACATTTTGGTTTTTTTCAGTGTTTTTAAGTGGGTGATGAAGAAGCTGCCAAACACATTCTAACCCAGTGTTTGCTGTACCTGATCCCAAACTGGTAACCAATGCTGACTAGCCAGAAAGAGGCGGGGGAAAGGACATGGTGCTCATGTTCCTCTCATCATACTGCCTAACTCTCCTTTTTGTCTTAGCTCTCAGAGGAAAAAAACAGAAAAGAAAAAAAAAATCTTCTCTTCTCCAGAATTATTTGTGAGGAAAATGAATGCACTGGGACGTGAGATTAGGGGAGGAGGAGAAGAGGGATGGCTGTATTTAGACACCAGTGACCTGCAAGGTTTGTCTTGCACAGAGCAGCACCCTGCATTAAACGCCTCCAGTTTATGGCAGCAAGAATTGCCATAAAATGAGCTCAGCCTCTGGAATATACTCCAAAAGCCTAGTGTATGGGCTAGGGACACCCATTTAATTAATGTAGAAACTTCAAGGAAACTGCTCGCAGTCCAAACTGGACCTGATCCAGGATTTTCTTGGCCCTGTACAAATTGGAGTGGGGATGAGAGATTTCCCCTCCTTCCCAAGGTGCTTTCCCCTTGGAGGGGAATTGGGTCTTGGGTAACTCTTCAGAGAGCTGTAGGATAAATGTGCAGGGGCTGGAGAAAAGGCCCCATAGAGAGGACTTAGGGTCAGTCAAAATCCACTTTGGTTCCTCTAAAAACTGCTGTCTCCCTTTCATCCTTCCCAGGGACAGCCTGGAACAAGAGGTTTTCCTGGATTCCCGGTAAGTGTAACTGCTAATTTATGAGGTACGGGTGTGCAATATTACCAGGAAGTGTCATTAGTGCTTGCTGTATCTCATCATTTCTGTCTGAAACGAAGGACCTGACCTGGTATCACTGGAAAAAAGTAATTCTTTCTTCATTTGTTTTTCTTCTCTTTTTTTTTCTTTTAAATGATACTTAGGGAAAAAAAAAAAAAAAACAAACCACACAACTCTGAAAGGAAATTAATTTAAAAACCCCAAGTGTTAAAATAACATAGTTGAAGCCAGATCTGTTCAGTAAAAGAAAACCAACCTAAGAAATACCCCTAAACAAAGAAAATAACCCCTAGGTAGGTGAAATTCCAACCTTAATTGAGCCTTGAGGTGATATTGCAATAGCAGTGAGTGCCTGTGATCCAAACGGGGCCCTGCATGAGGCAGGTCAGCTAGGGACCATGCTAGGCTGAACACCTTGGTCATGCCAAAAGGAAAGGACAAAAAGCATGAGGGGGTGATTCTTCTCCAACACTGTTACAGATGGACAAGGGAACAGAAAATAAGCCCAGGAGAGGATAAAGCAAATTTCATTTCAGTCCTACAGTTGCTGGCAACACTGTCTGAAGCATTGAGGCTGCTGGAGAACTCAAACGGTTGCTATTTATTCTTATGCATTTATCCTGGATGACTAGGAAGCCTAAGGCAAACACAAACCCCCCCCGCATCCCTGCTCACACCAGGCAGCTCAGCTGCTGCTCCAGGACACACGATGTGCCAGAGCAGGTCTGCGGGGAAGACTCTCACGCCTGGAAAATGGGAGGAATTGGCAGCCTCCGAGTCGTCTGACCGGGCTCTGTGGCTCTGCCCTTTGCGAAAAGGGGGGCTGTGATCTGCCCCTGGGCCGAGGAGAAGCAGATCTCTCGAGGCCTTTGAGGTCTTTGGCTTTCAGAGGAGCAGAAAACAAATCAGCCCAGCTCATGGGAAAGTGCTGGGTGGGACAGCACTCTGCAGAGCCTGTTTCTCATCAAATAGTACCTTCAACATGCTGCTGAGCTGTATGTCACCTCTTCCCTGGGACACTTTTATTATTCTATCATTTGCAAAAATTCCTCTTCCCCCAAAGGTGGGTGCCTTTTTAAATCAAAGTCTTGAGAAAACCGCTGATTTTCAACTAGTTTACAGGACACTTCAAAATTTGAAATGCTGAGGGTTTTTTTGCAAATTGCCCATGAATCCCTCCTCCCTTCCCTTCCCTTCTTGTGTCCAGTGATGCTGCCGAAATGGGCTGACAGGGAGTAGGTCCCTGCAGAAGCAATCAGGAAGCTGGTCTGGTACCCAGTGGGCCAGGGACCTGCCAGGACTCGGCAGGAGGGCAGAAAAAGTCACCTCACCTCTGCATCCTTTCCCCAGCCCGTGCAATCTTGCGACACATAGTGCTTGCTGGGGCAGATGGACAGACACCCTGGTGAAAGCATTTCTCATAATTTCTTCTTTTTTATTTCAGGGTCCTATTGGCTTGGATGGCAAACCGGTAAGGAAATAGCTTCTCTCAAGGCTTTCTGCCCTGCCTGCTACTAGGTCCCACTGTCCTGCCAGCCTGCCTGTTATAGAGTATGTTTTTAAGAGGATTATTTTGCGATGTCACACACATGCATGAATTAAAAGAAAATTAGAAGGTTGGCAGGCAGGAGGATACCACGGATGCCTTGGGGGAGATGCAGGACTCAGGAGATTAGGGAAGGCAGAGTGTAGCTGCTTCCTTTCTAGGCAAATCTATAAAATAGCACTTCACAAGTGCAACAGCCTGGCAGGGAAAGCAGGCACTCCCACCCTGAATCAGAGAGACAGAGCAGGCCCCTAGGCACTAGCCCTCTGCTTTACTCAGCTGACAGCCTCATTTGAAGTCAACCCTACAGCTTCTTTCTCTTTGCTCCTGTGCTGCAAAGAGTTGCAGTAGAAGAGGAAAGGACCCTAAAGACCTCCATGCTGTCCTTAGAGCCTCCTTATAATCAACTTTGTAGTGGAGAGAGAGAGATCTAAGTTCTTCCCATCCGTCAGAGAGGTAGACACAAATATAGCTACTTCACTATGAACCCAACTGACATGAAACCCATAGTTCCAGGCAGCCCCTTAGCCAAGTTCCCCACCACACTTCCTCTAGCCATGCTGTAATGGAGAAGGAGCTGGTAGCACATACCTCTCTCAACTAATTTCCTACAGCAGGACGCTGTTTTTGCCATGAGGAGCATCACCCTGCCAAGGCCAGCAGCATTTCTCCTATACTGCTCTGGGGACACACATGGGAGCCCCAGTAAGGCGCAGCGCACTGCATTCAGCTGTAGCTGCTCAGCCAGCCTGAGCAGAGCTTAACCACGTCCTGGCCACGCCCTGCAGAGCCTTTGCACCCCGTATTCATCCTCCAGAGCTTTGTTCTCAGCATTTTGGGTAGCGAAGAGCAGTGTCCTGTTAGATGTGTGAGCGAAGCTCCACGTGCACGGGCTTGCACCTCCCTTGGCAAAGTATAGTGACTGTGGGTACCTCCTGAGGCAAGGGCTAAGTGGGTTAAGCCAACATCTTCTAGAGACTGCAATGGCTGAGGCTGCGGCATGTTTTCTTTCTTTTGCAGGGTCATCCTGGACAGAAGGGGGAGATGGTAAAAAAAATATATGTTTGTCTGCGGGTGACGGATTGGTTTGAAATTACGTTGCCTCTCAGCTGGAAACGAGCTCATAGGCAGGGTAGCAATCCTAGTTCAGCCAACGCACTAGCTGTGTCCCTAATTCTGTAACTTCATAATAGCAGTGCTGGGAGGCACGTCTGTAATTTTTACATTATGGCTATCAGGTTCATCATGTCACAACAGCAACTCTCTAGTTACGCATGGGATATGTTTTCCTTGTAGTTAGCAATTACGTTCTTTAAATATACTCTGGGAGCTGACGTTTTTCGTGGTTGGCCTCATAGCAGAAGTAAAAGTTGATGGAAAGTCTTCTGAATACCCATCTGGCAGCTTTCAACTTATCTAACAACAAAAAAAAACCCCATATTTTTTGTATTAAGTATCTTTCTTTCCCCTCTTGAAGGTCTGTTTCATATGTGCATCGTACTAAAATGCTTTTGGTCGAAAATGATAAACTAAGGCCACACTTGATGGAAGCCCAAATGCGGTCTTGTTCTTCTTGACACCTCTGATGATGAAATCCCCAAACACGAGTATGCCAAGCTAGCAGCTCTGTAGTCACCTTCGCTCACTGAAATGCTGAATATTTTCTTCTGCTAATTCTGTTTTTTGAGTCTGAGTGTCAGTGTAACCCTCTGGCGAGCACATGTTGAAGATCCCCCTTCCCCGCTCCTCAGCAGAGGGGTGAGCTGACATCCCCCTGTTGCGCAACCCTAGCTCAGGCAGTTGCAGCTCAGGCTTCAGCCCTGGCTGCTTCTGGTTTGATCCCAGTGCGTCGGCTGAGGAGACGCGCTGTCAGCTGAGGTCCTGGGAACAATAAGGGTGCGTTTTCCTGATGATTTTTCCCCTCTCCGTTTAATAATTGCCCCCCGCAGTGCAGCCAGCACATGCGTGCATTTTCACTCCAGTAACAAAGGGAACCCAGACCTCTCTTGGGAACATTTCTCCACAATAGTTTTTAAAAGCTGAGTTTCCACCTATTCCATACACTGAGAGTTTTTGTCGTCTCGTCACCGTAAACGGGAATCCATCTCGCATTCATGACAATATGTTTCTTTAAAGGGTGCTGCAGGTCCCAGGGGACAACCCGTAAGTATCCCATCTCTTGTAATTGCACATCCTCCTAATCCCTTTCCCCTTGCATGCACTGAACTCCTTCATTTACTGAGGGCTTTCTTTATCACCTTTATAGGGACCCCCAGGACAAAAAGGAGAAAAGGTAATTTTAATGGGAGACGTGTTGAAAATTAAATGTAAGAAGTGAGCAGGGAAGGGACTCGATGGGCTTGGTGCTGCTCATTCTGACTTTGAGTGGCTGAGAAACACAGCAAGAACAGAGGGCTCTGGGGAGAGGGGATGGGGGCACAGTGCTTGTCGGGTGCAAATTGACATAGCTGCACTGAATTCAATATAGTCACAATGATTTACACCTTGTGGATCTGACCCCGTGTGTCTATTTTGGTCCTCTCTGTTTGTGGTTTAAACTCTTTCCTTTTAATCCCCTTCTTTCACAGGGTCAATGTGCAGAGTACCCGCACAGGGTAAGTCATTAGTGTTATTATCGTCTGTCCCGTGCCTTCCTGCATGTTAATCCGCCTTCAGTTGAATGGCTTTTTGTTGGAAATATAGATCGTTTCATTAACAAGATGCGTCATCGGGGCCCCGAGGGCAGCGCTCGGCTGATTGATGTGTTTCGCAGAAAAGCAGCAGATAAGGTTTTCTAGGAGGGATGTTGGTTCCCTGGTCTGTTCCTGCCCACTGGGGCTGACTCCCAGCTAAATGCTGTCATTGCTGCTTCCTGGAGACCCTCCCATGCTCTGTGCCAGAGCGGGGAAGGCCTGTGTCCTCACCCCAAAACCCAACAAAACCTGGGGTTTCTGGAGGAGTAGAGGTGACCCACTCACACCTTGTGCTGCTGCACCAGCTCCGTCCTGCTTCCACAAACTCTGCTGCGGTTGTGTGGCCAGAAGCAGTGGGGGTTTTGCAGACCTCGGGGAGACTCTATCGCCATTCCTCCCTTTTTCTTTTCCCTCATGCTGGCCTCAACCCTGCAGAGAGACAAGAGGAAGGGTTGTGCTCCCTGCCCAAAAGTAACCCTGACCACCCCTGGCCACAGTGCTCTGGCTGGTCCCTGGTGAGCTGGTCCCCATGCTGGCCCCCCCAGGCCTGGTGGGCTTTCTGCCTGCAAAGAAGAGGTGGAGAGGGAGGGTTGACGCTAGCAAGCATTTAATGAAAGCCAGGATGTTGCCCCACTTGCCTCTTTGTCCTGGCCTGGCTGGCATGTACCACAGCCAAGAGAGGAGAGAGTGCATCACGGGGTTTGAGGGGATTACAGCGGTAAAATTTAAGCAGCTCTAAAAACAACCGGAGTGCTGAAAATCCACTGGAAATGCATTGGAACGACATCATATGAAGTGGCTGGAATTTGTAATCTGGGTGTACAGGGAGACAGGCTTAAAGGCTTTCTGTTTATTTTTGATGAGCCTCTGGACAATTAGCTGGGCTCTGGTTCCTGGCCCTGAGGGAGCAGGGCCCTGGATGCTCTGTGCGGCAGAGGCAGGCTGGCAGTGAGGGAGAAGAGGGCCGTTGGTATGTGCCAGTACTGGTGCAATAATAGCTGGTCAGCTGTGTTTATTTAGGCGAGCTGGCTCACTAGATTGTTATGTTAAAAAGAAGCTAACAACAATGTTCACCCTAGAGATGTCCTGGGTTCACGTTACAGCCCTTGGCTCTGACTGTCCTCGGTGCTCAAGGTGAAAAGCAGCAGCAGGACCCGCAGCAACACTGGGAAACAGAGATGCAGCTTGTGCATCACTGGGAGTAGCCTGGGCTCAGACCTGGGGACAAAGGCACACTGATTTGGTGGGTTGGGGTTGTAGGCACCCTGGGGTGACATGCCGGAGGGCTGTGACAGCGGGGAAAGGGCTGGTGCAAAGCCTCACATCCCAGCAAAGCCTGGCGATGTTTCCTTGGCTCTCATGGAGGTACTTCTGGTCTCATGAGGCAACAAGCTCAACATTTTAAGAAGCCCATGAGTTATTCCAAGGCAGAGACATGCTCATGGGAAGGGTGACTGTCCTCAGATCAGCCCAAGGGTGGGCTGTCTTCGAAGGGTCTAGTCACCGGTGCAAATCAGCCACCTGAGGTGCAGTTCCATCTCTTCCTCCCAAAATGAAAATTAGGATGAGTCTTGTTGTAAAAATGCTATACATTTGACTGAACTGCAATTTGTTCTTGCTTTCCTGGTTGACAAGGTCCTTTGTCAGATATTCTGGGTGAGGAAATGAAAACCAGCATCCTGAAAAACCAGGGATGTTGTTTCAGTTTTGTTTCTTCTTTGTTTTCTTAGGAAGGAAATGTAAGGTTAGGATGTATGCCTTGGCTCCTGTTGTAGTTTCCTTTTTTTTTTCTGTATGAGTCTATATGGCCTGCACTGCTGTGAGGGACAAACCCAGGCGTGGGGCTGGCCATTCGGTGTGAGCTGGCCATTTGAGCTGCTCCAAGTGCCACTCTGGGAAACGGCACTTGGCTCGGGGAAGAGGGGGACCAGCCATGCTCCTTCGGCTCTCAGAAATGCCGTGTGTCTAACTGACCCCGTTTGTGTCATGTGTCTTAACTGTCCCCTAGGAATACCTAAGTACCACCTTTGCAGCCCTGCGCTCTAACCAGATCCTTACGCTAAAGGTTTGTGGGTAATGGTCTGATGGGACCCAGTTCTGATGCAAAGGCACGAGGATGCGGATCCAATATTGCACACTGTCCTCTGAAAAAAAACTTGCCATTGGGAATCAGAGAGGGCAGGGTGGGAGCTGGGTGGAAGAGGCTTCAGGTTTCTTCTCTAAACTCTCCCACTTGCACCTGAATCCATTGCTGGGTCTTGTCTTGCCTCTGTTTTCAGGACTGCTTCTCTCTATTTTCCTCCTTATCCTTTCCAGCATCCCTGGTAAGCTGCATAATATTTCAGATACACTTCAGCACTTGAGGAGCCAGGCAAAGCCAGCTCAGCTGGGTCTGGGTCACTGGTACAGACATACTAGGCACACCTAGCATGGGGGTGTGGGGATTTACAGCAACATCCCTCTTGAGAAGATGAGCACAGTCCCAAATGCTCTCCTGAGCTATGGGGCCTCCTGCACTGTCTTTTGGAAAAAGAAGGATTTCCTTCAGATAAAATCAGAGTAGCTGATTTTCCAGCAGCCCTGCTTTTGTTGTGATAGCTTGTGGCTGTCTGGATCAGTGCATTCGAACACAACCGCCTGATAACAGGGAGGCAATGCTGTAATATTGGCTTGCCACTTCTCTTTGCAACAGGACTGGATCCTTGCTTTCACTGCAAACACGAAGAACAATGTTAAAAGGGATTAAAGTGCGTTGCTTGGATGCACATGGTTACTGTGGTGGGAGACCTACGGGCATACCTCTCAGATCTGAGTGCACAGCTCACATGGGGAAACGTTGCACGTTTTTGTGCCTGAGAACAGAAAGACTCTTTCTCTTCTCCCTGTGTAAATCAAGAGCAGCTTCAATGGAAAACTGATAGGAACAGGAAAGTGGATCAGGCCAGAGGAGCATTCCTGGACCTGGAGCCGGCACAGGGGGTGCCAGGCTGACAGCAGCATGCATGCAAGTGGAAACTGGATACAGCAGAAGGATGAACAAATGCTCCTGAGCTTTAGTGCATTCGATTTCTGTGTGTCCGGGTCAGCTTTGTGCCCTAAGGCAGCATTCCTGGCTATAACCAGTCAGAGGCTGATGTTACTGTTAAACGAGGAAAAGCAAAGCACAGGCTCCCAAGGCAATACCCTGCTCAAGGCTCAGAGGCACTAAGGTCTAGTCTTCTCCCTTGGCCATGATGGCTGTGTCTGCTCAGCTAAATAAACCAGACCAGGACCTGTTTGCTGGCTGTGATGCCTGCTGCTGGCCCTCGCTAGCATCTCTCCACACCCTTCCACACATGAGGAAGGGTGAGGCCTGGAGATACACTGTGTTTCTTGTAAGGGAAGATGGAAAGAAAGAGGAAACCATACTTGGGAAACTTGGAGAAAACTGGCATTTTGATAGTTACCTCAAATCTGGTGATGAGAAATTAAGAGAAACAATCCTGTCACTAGAGAGCTTAGCAGAGCCAGTGGGGGATGTCTTGCAGTCAAAAATCCCCGGGGTAAGTTTTATTTCTGAGCAGAGAAAGTGGTAAAAGCTCTGTGTGGTGGGAGCACTGGGTTGGTGAGTGGTCACCCTGCGCCCACCTGGGCTGGCACGTGGCAAGTCCCCCTGTGAGCAACGCACGGCGCGGCAGAGGTCAGAGGTCTGCCAGCAGGTACCCATGCCCTGCGCGGCTCTCACACG